GGACAGGAAGGCCTGGTGCGATATGGTTCATGGGGTCACGAAGAGTTGGACACGACTTAACTGAACAACAACAACTTTGGGCTACTCACATTCTTTTATCCTAGCCTTTCCTACAGTGCTAATTACATTGCCTTGAACTTCAGAAGAAAGGCCTGACTGGTTTACAGATTAAACTAAATAAATAAATGGCACTTGCAGGGGCTTGAGGCAATCCAATCAGGCTACTTGGGAGGTGACATGTGGGTGGGTCCAGGTGATGGTGAATTCATCCTTGAGGGAGGGAGTGTTCCCAGCTGCTTTTAAAGAGGTGCTGGTGCATCACCTCCTCAAGAAACCATTACTGGATCCCACCATATTGGACAATTTTGTCCAGTCTCCCACCTCCCCTTTTTAGGGAAGGTGGTGGCATTGCAGCTCCAGAGGTTCCTGGAGGAAACAGATTATCTGGACCCTTTTCAGTCAGATTTCAGGCCTGGATTTCGGATGGAAATGGCATTGGTTGCACTCATGTATGGCCTCTGGCAGGAGCAGGATGGGGGTAGTGCATCCATCCGTGCTCTTCTTGACCTCTCAGCAGCTTTCAATACCATCGACCATGGTATCCTTTTGGGTTGACTTGGGGAGTTGGGAGTGGGTGGCACAGTTTTTATGCTGGTCCTCTTCATTCCTCCAAGGTTGATCCCAATCAGTGTTGATTGGGAGTGAGCAGTCCAGCCCGCAGCCGCTCCATTGTGGGATGCCGCAGGGTTTGGTATTCTCTTCGCTCCTATTTAACATCTATGTGAAACCACTGGGTGAGATCATCTGTCACCATGGGATGAGGTATCATCAATATGCAGATGATACCCAGTTATACATCACCATCCCGGGTGACCTGAGTGATGCCATGACCACCCTTTCATGGTGCCTGGAGGCTGTGGGGGTCTGGATGGGGTGCAACAGCCTTCAGCTGAACCCTAGTAAGACAGAGTTCCTGCGGATTGGAGGTCCCTCTGTATCCAGGAATTTACCAACTTTGGTTTTGGACGGGGTTGCAGTGCCCCAGACAGACCTGGTGCATAATATGGGGGTCCTCCTGGACTTGCAACTGATCGAGGAGCAGGTGGCAGTCATGGCCAGGAGGGACTTTGCCCACCTTTGTGTGGTACACCAGTTATGCCCCTTTCTTGATCAGGAGGCTCACCGGTCAGTCACTCATGCTCTGGTCATCTCTAGGTTAGACTACTGCAATGCACTTTACATGGGGTTACCCTTGAAGAGTATCCAGAAGATACAGCTGGTTCAAATGCAGCCATGCAGACAATCTTGGGTGCCCCAAGGATGGCACATATAACATCTCTGCTGCAGGAGCTGCACTGGGTGCCAGTTTGCTTCTGGGTCCAGTTCAAGGTGTGGGTCATCACCTTTAAAGCCCTGCATGGCATTGGTCCAGGTTACCTGAGGGGCCGTCTCACCCCCATTACATCAACCCATCCCACCCAGTCAGGCAGAGAGGGCATGTTGTGGATCCTGTCAGCAAGAGAATGTTGGTTGGCGGGGCCCAGGAGGAGAGCCTTCTCTGCCATTGCTCCCTTTGGAATATTCTCCCCGCAGAGGTGTAGTGGGCCCCTACCCTCCCGGTCTTCTGGAAAGGACTTAAGACCTGACTCTGTCAGCTTGTGTGGGCCAACAAGAGTTGTAACTAATCCTGGGGGTGGCTGGCACCCTGATGACACTCCCTGACCTGTTCGCCAATTTTATCATCTGTTGGAATTTACTTATTAATTATTGAAGATTGATTTTATTTCTTCTGTAAACCACCCAGAGTCGCTTTTTAATGAGATGGGCAGTGACAAATTTTATATATATATATAAAGTAGTAGTAAAGGAGTATGAGAAGCTGGAGGAGTACCAGGGCCTGAAGGAAGAACTAGAGAGGATGTGAAAAGTAAAGGCCAAAGTGGTTCCAGTGGTAGTAGGAGCACTGGGGGCCATGACTCCTAAACTGGGAGAGTGGCTCCAACAGATCCCAGGAACAAGATCAGAGCTCTGTCCAGAAGAATGCAGTGCTAGGAACAGCTCAGATACTGCGCAGAACCCTCAGACTCCCAGGCCGCTGGTGGAGGACCTGAGATTGAGAAGACACATACCACCCATAGAGGTGAGAAGGGAATTCTTTATATAAGTGTGTGTGTGTGTGTGTGTGTGTGTATGTGTGTGTGTGTGTGTGTAAATAAATAAAGTGGACCATTTTGAAGAGATTGGGCCAATATAGGTCTTCTCTAAAGCAGGGCAAGTTGTTTCCAAAATTTTGGACCAGCTTCAAGAATCATATCCCTTGCTAGACTTTCCTTAAAACATACCAAGCAGAAGAAATGACAGTATCATTGTGTGACTGTTGGTTCCAGTTTTCAGCACAGAAATAACAGTTGTGGGATGTCCTTACTTATTTCCTATAACATGGTTGTCAGAGGGATATTGGCTTATCAAAAG